CGGGGGGGGGGTGTGCGCGTGGGTGTCGGTGGGGGTATGGGGTGTGGGTGTGGGGTATGGGTGCTGGTAGTTCTAGATCAATAGATATCATTCACCCACACCCGCCCATCCCACCCACACCCGCATGCACGCTCACACCACCCACACCACACACTCACACCACCCACACTCACACCCACACCCACACCGACACCCACTCCCACACCCACACCACCCACACCCACACCGACACCGACACCGACACCCACTCCCACACCCACACCCACACCCGTTTACTAAAAGAAAAGCAACCTGAGTGAATCACAAGCATTACCTGAAAATAAAAAGGAACAAGGTAAGTTGACGACTATTTCTCTCTCCGGCGTTTTCGCCGAAAGCCAATATGTATCGAAATGATTTGTTTGAATCACAGCTTTCTCCTACGTAGCTCAGTGCGACAAGCGATCGACATATGAAGCACTTGAGTGACTACTAACAGTGTTTTTTCTTCAATTTGAAAACACACACGCACACATACGCACCAGGGATGCTCATGACAGCAGTAGCTGGTGTCGGTATGTATTGGTGAAAAAAGTGTTGTTATTGCTCTTGTCCTAGCCCACATCTGTTAACCACACTCACACCCTATTCCGAGTGACGTGCTGATATCTCCCGTCAAGAAATATCGTCTCATCTGCCACACACGGCAGAACTGGACAAATTGCATTGACATATTCTCGGTGGAGAGGGTGTGGGTGTGGATATTGATAGGGGTGTGGATGAGAGTGTGGATGAGGGTGTGGATGGGTGTGAGTGTGAATGGGTGTGGATGTGGATGTCAGTGTAGATGTGGGTGTGGGTGCATTGCTCGTTTCATACCCACTCCCACACCCCACCCAAACTCACACCCACATCCCACCCACACTCACACTCACACCCACCCACACCTCACACCCACACCCTTATTCACAATATCATCTGCAGTCCATTCCAATCAGTGTTTGCTAGCTTGTTTTTCTTTTTTTCTGTTCCTTTTGTTTGACTATTTTGTTCTGTTCGTGTGAAGAAAAGATGAAAAAACAAGACGGAAAGAAAGAAAACTGTCATTTAAAATTATTTGCACTGAATGAGCAAAGCCTGTGTTAAGTTTCTTAGAGAGTCAATATGCTGCGGCTGCTTTCTCTAGCCTATCAGTTAGAAAAATTGAAAGAATCATGGTGAGCTTTTTCATTCCTTTTCCAGATCGACGAATACGGCGTCTTATACTGTCGTGTACGGACCTCCAAAACTATGACCATATATCGTCGTATGCGACAACGCATTTTTCGATCTGGCTTTTTTCTCTCATGATTACTGTTGTTATTTTTCTACTCTTCTATTCTACATATACATATGTAATTTCGTAGTAGGAACCTATCATTGCTCTCCACGTGAAACTTGTAATACAGAGAAAAGGTGAAGATAAGCCTTACGAAGGAGAACGCAGCACGCTTGAGAAGAAAAATGGATAGAAAAAAGTCAACAGCTTTCATGCAGCGTTTCATACAAAACACATTCGATTATTAAACGAATCGGAGTGATCAGAACACGTTGAAGACTAAATTTGAGCGTAAGTAGATTGCTGGCATCACTCAATTTTCACCCACTGTTAACAAGGATCGTTAGTAGTCACATCTTTAAAGAAAAAGAATAATGTCGACGGAATTCATTAATGAAGACGAGACAAGAGTAGCAACTACTGTGACCTCTTTTTCATGGGACTTATTATGACTCTTCAAAAAGTCGCTAAATATTTTGAGATAAATTTTATTCGACTCCTCAGTTCATAGTAAGTGCGGGTATATGTGTATGTTCGGAAATATAGTCATAGTTAATACATTCTAATCATTTCTCAAAAAATGTATGCATCCCGCGTAAAAACAAAATGCTGAAAAAGATAAATCTCGATAGTCCTTCATTCTTGGAACAAAAAATAATTCGAAAGCAAAGTCCGTATTCAAACAAGAGTAGTTTTACAGGGTCATGATTGTATACAGAATAATATTACTCAATTTACAATAGAACTTTCACTCATGATACCATAGTGCAAAATTCGCGAAATAAAAATACATCAGTTGTTATTGTGGAGCTTGTGGATGTGTAGATCTTCTCTTCATCCACAAACTCATCCATACCCTGTATACTAACTCAACGAATCGTTGTTTCTCGTATTCACATCTTCTATATAACTGGCTCAACATACTTAACAAGTTTCATTTGATTTCAGTAACATTGAATGTATCAACCAAAAAAAAACGAAAACATTGCAAGTAAGCAGATAGGATGACTCGCGTACATGACTATAATCATAATTAAATTTTCTTGCTTTTAGTGAATGAAAGTGAAGGAGATAGTGTTCAATTACCCAATATTCTGAAATGGAAAGTAGGCTTGATAATCGAAAATGGTAATTTATGAACTTTCCAGCATCTCTCTAAATATATGTTTAATGTTCTGTCATAGATCTTCGTTTTGATCCAGCATCGTGTGGTTCTGGTTTGTTCATTTCGGATGAAAATACTCATTTGAGAAAGATTGTAGCAATAGATGAGTGGCGAACTTACCGTATTATGAACACTGAATGGACAGAAGGCATTCATTATTGGTCCATGAGAATTAATGATCGTGGTCCGGATGGTACAATAATGATCGGCATTGTAACGAAAAACTTTGACACGGGTTCAATCCTCTATCCAGGAAACACATCTGATAGCTACAGTTTCTATGTTCATAATGGAAACAAATATAATGATTCTAACGCTGCAGCGTTCACTACTGATTTGCCAAAAAATAGCGACGTCATTGAGAACTGTTTGGCAATAACGTGATGAATTTTTGACGACATCTTGATCCCTCGTCTTGCCAGAAACTTGGTGCATATTAAAATAATGAAATAATCGTAATTACTAAAATTAGATTTTAAATCAATTAAGGTAGATTTAATAGCATGATGCTTTCGTTGATATATGTATTACTAGTAGTCACCCGCCCCTCTCCGCATGCTTGTTATGGACCAGAGAACGAGAAGTAGCCGAAGGAATCTCGATTTAAACTTACGCTCACTATTATTCTTCAAGACAGATGTGAGTTGCATAATAGTCTATATTGTAATTTAAGCAAGCACATTCATTGAATTTATAACATTGAGAAGACGACGTATCCTTTCCGTTCCATTTGTTTCAAATAAACCTTCTGTACGCATATTTATTCTATTATAGAGCACGTGAAAAAGACATATTGCATACTGTCATTTTCTTCTAGGTAACATTTTCCTTTCAGGAACTGGTTCGAACAATGGAAATCAATAAACACAAAAAATATACATTGCTGGAGAGTCGAGCTCGAGTTCATTGTAATCATCCTTTAGAAAAGCAGTCGTTTCTGAACTCTCAAGTGGGATGTATTTTCTTCGATAAACCCGCCCTAGGCTTGTCTTAGATCCATAAGATTACTATTATAGATTTTGCCAGCTATGACACAGCCGCTTATGAATAAGCAAGTATATGGGCAAATAATTGTCTGATGGCTTGTAAAACTAATGAAAACCGGGGATGTTATTCAGTACAAGTGATTTCAAAAACAGTTGATGAATATCCTAATGTTTGGCATGAGTTTCGAAGATGAAAAAGCGATACTACTTTATCTCTAATTACCTCCTCGTACGATGCCATTTATTATAATTGCTCGACTCCCTAGCTCATCTCTTGCCAGGACCATTCACATCATTTCTGAAATGCCGCGTGGTGTTCTTCTCGATTTTGATGCTCGAACATTGACCTATTTCAAAAACGGACAAATTGTGGGCACGGCATACGGTCAACTGCCAGTTCATGGAACAGATGTTAAGTATTTTCCAGCAGTTGGATTCTATAAATTAGGACAATGGGTTAGTTTGATCAAAACAATCAAATGACTACCATGCTCACAATCGTACTTAAATGTACCTTTTATATATTACTAACAGATCTATTTTTAAATCAAAATAAATAGAAGTTATATTTTCTTACAGGAACAATTACACAATATGATATTTTACGTGTATTTCCTTTTCAAGATAATATTTTTTCTCTGTCTGTTCCTGGTTCATATCTTGCTAACGTATTAAGTTGTGGTATGTCAATGAAAGGTAGTGGAACATTCCTTGCCATTTGTGGAATTGAAACTCTCGATCAAGGAAAAACTTGGTTACTTACTGGAATAGATATTTCAAAAACTGATCTTAATTATTCTGTCGCTACAATAACTTATCTAAAAGATGCAGAATTTCTCAAACCATCAGTTACTATTTGGCGGGAATTCAATATAACACAAACACAAGGTTTAATTAATTATTTACAAACAAAATATCCACCTTGTTAAAATCTATATGAAACCATACGTGTATCAATTTTTTTTAAAATTTAGCAAAGCAGTTAATATTTTTTTAAATCGGATTTTGCATGAGAAATAAGCAATAATTTTTTTTACTATTTCTAATGTAAAGAAGTCATTTTTTCTTCGGTTATCATTAATTTCGATGGGTGTGGGTATGGGTGCGGGTGTGGGTGTAGGCATTCTGTCTCTGCAAAGCCTCACCCACACCTACGCCTGCACCCACACCCACACCCACACCCACGCCCACACCCACGCCCACACCCACATCCCACACCCTCACTTTCAACTAGGACCAAGGCTACAGTTACACGCAGAAGCACAGCAACCTTCATGCAGGCTACGGTGTGGATTGGTATCTCGGAAGTCGATTTTGTTACATGATGGTCTACTATGCTCCAAACCCCATCCTACAATCACATCCACCAATATCCACATCAGCCCCCACATCCGATTCTTACCAGCACCCTTAGCAACGCCTATATGCACATTCACACACACCTGCATCCGCACGAGCACCACACACTGACACCTACACACAGTGATGAGCCAGGCTGACATATGCGAAAATATTCTTTTCCAGAATCTAACCGTTCCCATAGATACATACATATGTGATCTATCATTTCCTAAAATAGCGGTTCTCAAAGTTTATAGAGGCCTAGAAAAGAGGCTAACAAGGCTGAGTCCTAGAAATCGGCATAAATGAAGAAAGTCAAGCTACTCGGCAATATAACACAATATTTCATAAGCGAACAATATCGCAAAAACCTTGCTCACCTATGGACTTTATGGAAAAAAAATGATCGTAATCCAATTTAAAAAAAGCTTGTTAGCGCAGCCCCTTTGGGACTGAAATGTGGAACTCACATATCTCCTTTGGTTTCATTATACTAATGACAAAATACCCAATATTTAAAATCTCCAAAAGAGAATAGTTCTTTTCTAAAGATATTCGATTATTAGAAAATGCTATGTTTTTATCTCTCAATTTCAAACAGAATTTTTTTCTCACGAAGTTGCCAAGGTCTGTAATGGGGGGTTCTCTGTAATGGTAGCCTATGTTGCTATGGTCTGTAATAGAGGGGTGTCAGTAATGGGGGGTATGTCTATAATGTTCTCTTTCCCGTTGCTATGTGTATGTAATGGGGTGGGGAGCGCCAACCTCGAACTGAAAACTTACACTCACTATTTTCTTCGAAAGCGTACGCGAGTTCCACAATAGAGTGGAAAACAAAGGATCTCGAGCCACCAAACCTATCTGAAAACATACCGCTCCGTATATTGCGAACGCTACAAAGGAGTAACGTCTGATCGAGCGCGCATTTTTACTCCATGCTCCTACATGTGTATCCTACTTATGGGAGATGCAAAAGCTCATGAAACCTTCCCTAGGCTATTTTACAGGAGGCCCAAAAACTCGAGATCTCTGGTAGGAAATCAGGATTTCGACACTCGCGTTACACTTTGACGAAAAACCAAGATGATATTCGGAATCAGGTCGTCAAGCTGCATCGAACCATATATATTCAATAATTTGTCAAGAAATTTTCGGCTCACTTTTACCGGTAAACCAGGTTCACAACCATACCGTCCCGTATATTCTAAACGCTACAAAGGAATAACGTCTGTTCGAGCTCAAATTTTTATCAGATGCTCCTGCATATATATCCTACTTATGTTAGACTCAAAAACTCATGAAACCTTTCCTGGGCTATTTTACAGGATGTCCAAAAACCCAAGGTTTCTGGTCGGAAATCCGATTTTAGGCATCCTTATTACACTTTAAAGAAAGACCAAGGGGATATTCGGAATCATTGCATTCAATTGAATCGAATAATATGATGTTCAAAGTATTTTTCAAAAAACAAATTCCTCGAAAAAATACTGGCAAGGATACCCCAGGCATATTTTGTTAAAAAAGAAATTTAAAATAAAAAGGTTTTACATGTATAAGATAATTTCCTGAGGAATATCCGACCATTTGTGAACAAAAGAAAACTGTTTGCAAGGAATGAAGTCGTATTTCAAGCTGTTTATGTGGAAACTGCCCAATGTCCTGGGGTCCTCCTCAGGTTTTTCTAGTCAAAAAATATTTTTTTGAAAAAAGCTTTTATTTTCTTAAATGTGATTTTCTGAGTGATATACGATCATTTCTGAGTAAATGAAAGCTGTTTCTGAGCAAAAAATCCACATATGCACCTGCTTATGAGAAGCTCTCCACTGTGCTGCATGCACACCGACGCCGGCACTCGCACCTATCCGCACCATTGTATTACGATAATAAGCCACAAAATTTCGAAAGTAAATAGTTCGCTGCTCTCTGCAAGTCAGATTTTTTCATTTTCTCGTTGAATCGCATCTCTTCAATATTTGTACACTCAATACCGTTTTTCTTGCCAATTCCATAATGCCTTTTGAAAAAGCCTCTATATGATATTCCTCTTCAGATAAGAAATAAAAAGAACAGTTATAATCTCTTTTTTTACCACAAAAAAAATGAGTCAATGAAAAAACCAATAAAAAATAAAACAGATTATAAGACAGATGACATTAACGTGACAAAATACCCTGTGATAAATTTTATGGAACTCACGTATATTTTCGAAGAAAATAGTGAGTGTAAGTTTTAAGGCCAATTTTTCGTGGCTCCCCTTCCTCTTACAGACGGACCCCCATTACAGATATACCTCCAGTTACAGACCTTAGCAACCAGGTTTAAAATAATGGATATACATATACATATATATAACAGTTTCATTCGCCATATAATTCAATGCTTCTTATGAGCGAATAACAACAAAGAAAACGAAAAATAAGGACGTCTGTCAGAAAATTAAAAGATTCGTGTTTTTATACTATCTATATTTCATATTAGTATAATGAAGCTGAAGAATATACGTGATTTCCACATTTCAGCCCCTTTGGGGCTGCGGTAAGACGCTTTTTTCACACTAAACATAAAACATAATTGAGTCTCTTAAACCCAATGGAATACAAATGTGAAAGAGACCGTTGATGACGAGAGGGAAGAAAGAGTTACAACGTCATTCTTAAAATGTTGTCTTTTCTTTGAAGTTCTCTTAACGATGCAATAATTGCGACTTATTTTTGGTTTATTTCTTCAAAAACTGTTTAAAAAGATGGAGAACCTCAATTTGAACAAGATCATCTTTCTAGCGTTTCCGCTTGTGTGAGACGAGTGATTTGATTCTTGCTGCTATATCTACAGTACTTTGAAGTCTTTAATCATTTGTATTACAGAACTCTCGTTTATTTTCTGAAAATGATATTGTCTGTAACAAGAAAAACTCTAGCAAAAAAAGCAGTAGGCTGGACGAAACCTAATCTTCTCGAGTCTTCTTCCTTTGTACCGAGAGTTCATTTTTTTTATCCACATATAACTGCAACATGCATGTTACCAGCACATTGATGTTCAAATAATTTTGTTTGCACGCAACTTGACTGTCGTTCATAAAGGACTTGCAGTGACTGAAGGTGATGACGATTGAGACTGCAAAACCGGACAAGATAGATCTCGCGAACCCAAACGTTGTAAAAAGCATTAGATATCATGAGAGAATTACGAAGAAGAGGATCCATCTAAGAAAGCTGAGCTTTGCTAAAGTGACTTCTCGGCTAACTCTAGTTCTAGCGGAAGAAAGCTTGGACAGTTAGCGTGTTTTATGAAAATTTGTCTCCTTTTTTCTTCAGTCCTAGAATCCGACAGGTCCGCTTCGAAATGATATATCAGCAATATCTGAAATTTCGCTTCTTTGCCAAGATACAGATATCTTTTCAAATTTTATCTTTTGAAGAAATTCGACTTGTGAGCACTGATAAATGCCTAGAAATGGGAATATGCGCTATTTAACGTTTAAAGTAGCCAATAAGTGTGCTGAGCAGCAAGTCTAATTACACGATTATTCTGAACGGTGACGTAACTCAGTTGTTTCTCATCCAAGTGAAAAACTAACACTACTACGATAATCATTAATTAGTACATTAGATCGCCTTTTCTAGACATTGTTCAGAACTCACAAACAGAATATTCTCAAAAGTTAACCGTTGGAAAAACCTCTGCATCTGGGCAAGGAAGCAAAATTTCAGCTACAGATTATATACTATTTTGAACTAGACTAGTAATATTGTAAGATTGATTAAAACAGAAAAAATCTTTTTTTCTAGAAAATACAGTGATTTCTCTAATTTTCATCTGTTAGAACTAGACTAAAACTTACATTGGATAAACTTAGTTTTCACATAGGCATGCACCGTTAAAAAAAAGGATTTATGAGTTTGCAACGAGACATAAACCCTTTTTCCCTTTTTGAAATACTTAGTAAAAGCAAAAACCGTTTATTATCTCCATCCTACACGGAGAAAAAGGTTTATGTCCCGTTGCAAACTCATAAGAGAGACCAAATTGAACCGAGTTCTGCTGGTTCGGGTTCGGTATGGTTCGCTTCAGTAACCTTATTTCTACTTAATTAGATATAGATGATGGGTAAAACACTGGCTCTCAGCACGTATGTGCCAATGCCAAAAATCAAACCCGAAACATTTGGATTTTGCATGAGTTTTGAGTAGTCTTAGGTTTCGTCTTCGAGATTAGGGTTTCGAGTCTTCTTTTGGAGTAAGTTACTGATAATTGCAGACAGTAATTCGATTCGCTCATCAAATTTCGCATAATATAACCAGGAAAAAGAAGGTATCATTATATAGGAAGTGACTGCTAACATAGCGCTACTTCGAAAAGAAATAGGTCTATTCAAAACACAAGTGCTCAAGACGAAACTCAACTGATCAAAATCCAAAAGTTCCGGTATTGATAGACAACTACTATTAGAATATCACATAAGAGTTCATACTAGGGTGAATTATGCTAGAAGAAGAAGAAGAAGAAGAAGAAGAAGAAGAAGACCTAGTCTTTTGACTACCGTGCGGTATAGAGTGCTGTCCGAGAACAGTGTCAAAAACTCGATATTTTTCCTATATCTATTACTAAATGTAGCTGTGGACAGAAGGTCAACCTGACTCAGAGTTCTCCCGCTTAATCACTTAAGCTCCTTGTATATACATACTGACTAACCACATACTAGTCACAAGGGTTTTAGTGCGTGCCAAGCATGTAGTCATTTTGTTATCGGATGGATAATCCGAGACAAAGCTGTAGTTAGGGACCTGTCCAAAGTCATTTTATGACTGATGGGGCCGAAGTTCGAACACAGTACCTTGTGGATATGTGTCAAACATCTTAACCATTCAGTCATGCTCGCTGGAATTATTCTAACTGATGCACTTGTAGATTAAAATAAAGTTTTTAATACGAATACTTAAGTATCAACAGTATTTTTAGTGTGAATATTAATCTCACATCAACACAGATGATTATTCATCACAATACAGAAATGACCAATCGTTATAAACACTATTAGTGTGATTGTGGTAAAGACAGAAAGGCAGTGTTATACACGAGGATTAAATTAAAAATGTAAAACAATCAATCAAAAGTTTTTTTCATCTTTCCAAATTCCATCGCATTTTTACAAAATGATTATACTTGAATCATTGTAGTTCTGTTCAATTTCGGCCTCTGACTCATAAACCCTTATACCATTTATTAGGAAACCAAAAACGGTTTTTTTCCACTAATTATTCTCCGTTTTTTTTGGGTGCGTGCCTCGAACTTCCTGTTTCGACTGCTGACAACGAACAGTCAATTCTCATTAAAATTATTTTTCAGGGAAATATGCGAAGCTGAAACTGTTAAAGAAACTTACTCCTAGGTGAGACAGAAAACTTTTCTCGCCGAAAGCCCAGTGGATGAGAGACGTTTGTCAAAATTGGAGAAAACCGAACAGGAAAAGGGACAGAAGAAAAAACCTTTTTATCGAACGTCCATTATAAATGACGTCTTGACAGATTAATTGCGTTTGCTGAACAATTAGAAAAACTTTGTAGAAATGTGCATTGAATTTCTAATTGATCTTGTCCATATTGAAAAAAACATTTATTGTTGGGCGCATTTGGATTTGATGGGGGTGGACGATTGAGTAGGAAGGCAGCAAAACCTTGATTTAGTGAACGACAAACGGCATCTGCTGCATATTGATCAAAGCCATTTTGACATACAGAACCTTCCACAAAGAAATGATCTTTATAACCTGTTGTTGGATCTGTTATTTCAACTTTTGTACGAATACGCAGTGGACTAGGAATGAGTACTTGAACATCAACAACCTTACGTGGAAATGCCAAAAGATTGTACAATTGTGAACATGTTTGCGCAAATATGCCTCTTGCTGATGGTGTATTTGCTCCTAGACCTTGAATGATTTGTGGACCAAACAGTGATGAATCAACCTGTTGTGAACCAATAACCAAAAGGAAAATAATACTAATGAATTGCATCTTTCTGGCAATTAATTATCTAGAACAATAAAAGGCATTACGTGACACAAAACACAAACATCAACTAATTTGAAATAATTGTTAAGAGAGAGTCCGCGAGACCACCAAACAAGTCGGCCGCCGATAAAATTTTGATCTTCGATTTAGGTATCTCAAATGAAAGGTCTAGTCAAACCATAGACAAATCCAAAATAATAACTCTTTCTGACTTCCCTATGAAAAATGGCATAGTATACAAGTGATACACCCTCCGAAACCTGGAAAAAAGGCAGTTTTTTAGGGTGACCTTAATATTTTGCACTTTTCTCTGCATCTGCTCATTCATTTGAGTTCCGGCACGTCTCAAAAGATGTAGAAATGTTTTTTCTACAAAAGTTGATAATTGCTTATGTTCTACAATGCCATTCATCAAGTGATAATTCCAATACACGAGCAAAAAGGACTATTAGCTAAAATCACGATTTTCTAGTATTTTGACTCTAGCCACGCTGGATCATGTCATCCCAAAATGATTTATATATTTTCTGAAAGCCCTTAAAATTCTGCATCGTATAAGGTATTACTTTAAAAGACTAAAACACCAGCGAAAAAAGTTTCTCCATGGCACAAACGTCAGGGGGTGATGACCATCTCTATTAATTCTGTCCCCTAATTAGGATACTAAATTATTTTTGTCCATCGGAATAAAAAATGTGACTTCATATTCGTAATCTACATGAAAAACTAAGCATAAAAATGCTATTTCATTGCATGCAAAGTTAATCAAGTAAAAATTATCCTATCGACTACAATTAACTGGAGTATATCGCCAAGTATATATTTAGAGATTTGTTTAGAAGCCTGTCTAGCCTCTCATAAGAAACTTTGGAATCGAGTTTTATGTCTTATTTAGAATCACTGGACTCTTACCCTGAAAATTAAGTATGAATGTTTTTTAAATTGCTTTTTATTTGTGAGAAAATTCGATTTTCCTAGATGGTAATCGGAAAAACATATAAAACGGAAAAAGTAGTGTCCATATTTGATAGCTTTTATTGTAATAGCTTATTCTGATGGAAAAACAAATTTCCAAAATACATGTTATTCAACGTAGTTTTTCACGCTGATTTCGAATATGCTATTCATTTAGGTATTAGAATAGTCTATTACACTAAAAGCTATCAGGTATGTACACAATTTTTAGAGTGTTGTATGCTTTTCCGATAAACATTGGAGGCAATCGAATTTTCTCAAAAAATAAAAAGCAATTTAAAGAAGCTCTATAGGTAATTTTGAAGGTAAGAGTCCAGTGATCCTAAATAAGATAAAAAAATCAATTTCACATTTGCTCATGAAAAACTAGATAGGCTTACAAAGAAGCCTATAAATATATGCTTTGAGATATACTCCGGTTATCTGTATTCGGTAGCATATTTTTACCCTGATTAACTTTACCTTCAACCAAATAACATATTCAAATTCAGTTTTTCATGCAGACTACGAATATGAAGTCGTATTTGTGACTACGACGAACATAAAATATGTATCACCCTGACCATGGGTTGGAATGGACAGAAAGGGCCTGAACCCCCAGCCTTTGTATCATGGACAAACTTTTTTCGCTGGTGTTTTAGTCTTTTAAAGTAATACCTTATACGATGCAGAATTTTAAGGGCTTTCAGAAAATATATAAATCATTTTGGGATGGCATGATCCAGCGTGGCTAGAGTCAA